TTAAGACTCCTGAGTGAAGTAAATCCTGATGAAATTGCATGAGATGAGATCCTTTAGAATTTATAACATTATGATCTACTTTCGGCCTCTCTCACAGTGGAAAATAAGAAAGGAAAGATTCGATAAGAAGGCATTTCTCGCTTGTAAATAGAGAGCAGAGATGAAAGCAAAATAAAGAGAGAAAATAAATGAGGTGTGTGCATGAGAAAGGCAAAAAGAGTGGGGTGTGTGTTATCACTACTGTTATTATCATTATCATTATTATTATCATTATCATTATTCTTTTATTGTTATTATTATTAATATTATTATTATTGCCATGATTATAATCATTATTATTGTTGTTGTTTTTATTATCATTATCATTTTATTATTATTGTTATGATTATCAGTTATTATTATCATTATTGGATCTGTTGTTATTATCATTATGATCATTATTACTATTATTGTTATTATTATTTTCATTATTACTATTATCATTATTTTCATTATTACTATTATTATTATTTTCATTATTACTATTATTATTATTTTCATTATTACTGTTATTATTATTTTCATTATTATTATTATTATTATTATTATTATTATTATCATTATCATCATTGTCGTCGTAATCGTTATAATCACATCATCATCATCATTATCATTATCATCATCATCATTATCATTATTATTATTATCATTATTGTTACTGTTAACATTATTATCATCATCGTTATCATTATTATCATTATTATCATCATCGTTATCTTTATTATCATTATTATCATTATTGTTTTTGTTGTTGTTATGATTATCATCATTAGTGTGGCTATTATCATTATTATCATTGTTATCATCATCATCATTACCATTATCATCATCATCATTTTGATCAGTATCATCATTATTGCTAAAGAAAAGGAGGAGGATAACGACGATAATGATTTTGATGATAGCGATGACAGCAATAAAGACAACAACAAATTGAACAGCAACAACAACAATAATAAAATAACATCAACATCAGGTAATGTAAAAAAAAAAAAAAAAACGCGTAAAATAGCGAGATGAGAAAAGGGGGGAAAAAGACACAGAATGATAATAAGAAAAAAAAAAGCGATTGTCGTTAATATAATTCACTGTAAATGTGTCGCCAGTGAGAGCGAGGCAGTGGATTACGTTTCATTTCATTTCACTGTTTTTTTTTCTATTTTATTCATATCGTTTATCATTGATGTCATCTTTTATTTCTTGTATTTCTTACTAAGAATAATAAAAAAGAAATTGGAAATGAAATCCAGAAAAAAATCAATAGAAAAATTACCAACAAAAGCTGAGGAAGGTGAAGAATAAAACAATTAAAGGAAATAGATTTATTAAAGAAAATGAAGACAATGAAATAACTCGATATTTAACGGAATAACGATATAACCTAAAACGAAATTACGAAACAAATACTTCAATAACGAAATAAATAACATAATTGCCGAATGGATAACCAAAAGTCAAGACAACTCGGAAATTATATCCAAAGGCAAAAAATAAATCAATATATGAATAAAGAGTTAAAAACATAAAGAAGAAGGCGAAGCAAGAAGAAATTAAAGGAAGCGGATCTGGTGAAGAAGATCAAGATAACGAAATAACGAAGTGAAAATAAATAAGTAAATAACATTGCGAAACAAATAATATGAAAAAAAACGAATAGATAGGAAAAGTAGAGGACAACTGAAGTAAGTGGATTTGATAGAGAAAATGAAGATAAAATAGATCACACAGAAACAGAAGAAGAAAAAGAAAAAAATGTAAATATGAAGGAAATGACACGCACACAAATAATAAAAATACGAACAGATATATATAACAATGAAACGAGGAAACAAGACGAAATAAAATGAAAAATAACCAATCAAAATATCAAAACGACTTTCATTATCATTAACAGTCAATAAGAAAACATTCATACTAAGCTTACACAGGAATTGCCAACTACCTTTACTGCGAATTTGTGTATATACAATCTATCCACTTATTAGGTCGAATCACATAAAAAGATACTTCCAGCACTTTTATAAGTACTTAAGTCTCAGGTCCGGCTTGTGCGATCT